ATGCATTCACCTTTCTAAATTGAAGAATGTTTTAATGCAATAACTAGTTACTTTATAATGTCCGTGACTCAAATTTTCAAGTTGAAAATAATCTCTACTAATACTAAAATATTTTGCACATATACTTCTATTTTATTTACAGAAGATTACTTCAAGAAAAGAAAACATTGACTTCACTAATTTTGATTTTTATTTTCTTCAGATGTAATGAACACTCTTTAAGAAAATAACCCATTTTGTGTGGATAGGTAGGAAACATGCACATACCACTTAAGAAAGTAGGATATGTTATCTCCCCAAGGTGTTTGCTAGAGATTTTTATTTTTTTTGTCTGGAGTGAGACCTCAGAATTCTTCTGTTTGGGAGCTGATTGGATTATGCTCATTATTTTATGATCATCCCAGAAACCACTCATAAATCTTACTGCAATGCCATTAGAATAAGATGTTCTGATTATGCTTTATTAAAGCAGATGCTACCATCTGCCCTGTAGAGGAATAAAAATATGATTCTCTACATTCAAGAGACTCTTGGCAAATATCTTCCCCTGTCCAAATAAGGTTTCTGAAATAAACTTTGGGTTGAAAATAGTGCAAATTGGAAATAAAATTACAAAATTCCTTTTTTCTTTTTTTTTTTGTAGGAGCAGAACATAGAGAAGAAAGGAGGCAACCCCAGCAAAGTCACCTCTGAATGCAGAGACCAACCAGACTTGTTTTCAGAGGAGGATAAGGTAAAACAGGAGTTCCCATACTCTAAGTGATGGAAATCCAGATTAAAATGCAACAGCTTAGATTTATCTTCACTAATTACTTTACCTGGCACGCAATCTGTTGATCTTAAACACTATGAAGACCTAAGCAGGGAGTGAATCATTCCCTATGAATATTCACACACTTTCTGTTGCTCTAATGGCAACAACACTCGCAGTCAGCACTGGATAAGCAAGGCTTGGAACAGAGGCATCCTTTGGGCCTGTCTTTTTCTTGACTTTGAGTGTTCAGTCTGATTTCAGCCCTCCAAACCAATGCAAGGTTTCATTGAAGGAGAATCAGCTGATCTGTTTTCTCCAAATTCACATCTGCTTCAGGAAACCACCATCAATTTATCACCAGTTTATACTTGCAACTTTTTGGAAGTCAGATCCATTATTTACCATTCCTTGAATTACACTGTCTGGTCACACCAGGTTTCTTATCTTTACCCCTCTATTAAATGCTCTATTTTAACCTGTATTCAATCCTCAACTTTTATCTTCAGCTACTTCAGATTTAACCCGGAAAATCTGACTAAACAGAGAAACACAGAATGTATTTTGTATATCACATACACAGAGTTGAGAAAACCACTAATGGTTCCTCATTTGTTTGTTGATGATCTGGCAGATAAATAAAGCCCTGGTTTAGGCATTTGAAGATACCACATTTTCATTTTTGATCTCTATGAAAATATACAGCTCTTTCCCCTCAGCAAGTTTCAGTCACAGGTTTTGCAGAAATACTAGTGAACCACAAAACAGTCATAAAAATCTTGCTGTACAGGTTATCAAATTGGAGTTCAAAATCCAGGTTGTGCTTAAAATCCTCTAAACCACTACACTGGAACTTGGCAGGTGCACATTATAAACACAAATTGACCTAGACTGGCAACAGTGCCACCAGGATTTACTTTTTAAGTTGGCTTCAGAAAGAAATTATCTTTGTAATTTAACTGCTTTGTTCTCTGCATCAATGAATTACCAGATAAGAGCAAAGTGCTACTGAGAAATGGTTTTATAGAAAATAAACACGTGAAGATGGAAACAAAAAAGGTAACTGTAATGTTACAAGGTCAGAGAGACTTGAAATAAAAATGTCACACTAAAACACGCAGGCAGAGGCATCTAGCTACAAGAAAGAAGCGCCTTTATTTTGTTGCTTAATGTGCATCTGGGTAAAAGAAGAGCTAAAATGTTGTAAAGGTGGAAGAAAGAAGAAGGGAGGAAATTCAACCTGCCACAGGTTATCAAAGACATCACCTCAAAGCTGGTACCTAGACAAAGGCAAAGAACAGATTGAGCAAAGGGGGACTCTCAGTTTCTTCAGCTTCAAAGCAACAGGTGAGTTGATAGCACTGCACAGACAAAAGCAAACTGGGGATAATTTAAAGAACCTAATTTAGTGCTCAGTCTTTCCAATTCTCAGGGTATTGACTGAAGCAAAGTTATTTCATACATATCCACAGAACCCTGGTAACTGATCAAGTGTCCCTCCAGGGACATCACTGCTGCTAAACCCTCCTGAGTAGCTTAGGAGATTTTCAAGGTTATATCCAGAGAGGTTGAAGAGATCTCTGGGAATGGGGTGGCAAAAGGAATGAGAAACATCCCCAGAGACTGGAGTGATGCAACTTCACTGATAGAAAAGTGACTTCTGACAGTCCTAATCCACTGCCCTAAACATTGTCATCTGCTGCATTGCTATTTCCACACCCTTGGGTATTTCTGGAAAACACAAAAATCTTTGTACAGCACATTCAATGATTTTGCACCTATGCTGAGCAATCATTATCATGAAACACATTTCCTTATTTATCACTCCCCGCTTTGACAAACTAAATCATCACATTATAGACTTCTAAAGCAAGCAGGAGGTTTCCGCCTATTGCTGTAAATGCCTTTTCTGGGGAAGGGAGCAGGAGGAAGGTGGATTTTTTTGCTTTACCTGTGTGAACACAGTCCTTTGCTAATCCTACCAGGTCAAGGCTGCCTGAGTTCAAACAAATCCTTAGCTGCAGGGAAAACCAGCTGAGTTTCTGGTCTGCCCCTGAGTGGCCTCACCAGAGTGAAAGCAGTGTCTGGGGATGAGTGCCTTGTACGGATCTGTGGGAGTTTGTTTGTTTTGAGGAGAGAGACCAGAAAGCGGCAAAGAGGAAACAAGCGAGGTAAATGAGGGCTGGGGGCAGAGCTGCACACGGAATAACAAGGATGGCGCTCAGTGCCTCTTGTTCTGTTTTCATTTTCTCCTCTTTTGCACTCACAGGGCATTGTCCCTCTGCCCTTCCTGCCTGTCTGCTGACACAATCAGCGTGTTGAGGAAGGTGATTGTCGAGGTCTCCATTCTACTCTTGTCCATCTGTCCCCGGCCCATGCTCCATTCCAACTCTCTCTGCCACATGGAGCGGCATTTTGCTGCCTGCATGGTCTGCCTGGAGAAGCACAGTGTAACAAGCATGACAGGAAAATGGGAGAATGCATACAAGAGGCCAGAGAGCACTTCTGTGGTCTGTGCCTACACCCAAACATTCTCCCTTTGCTGGACACACACACCCTGATCCCTTTTCCACACTGCTGATATCACACGAAGAAAGATGAAGTGAGATCAGACACAGGAGGAGTGAGGGGAAGATAACTCTTATTATCTCACCTTTCCTTTCCCACCTCCTTCCTGTCTCTCCTGTTTATCTGCATGTGGATAGGGGTGAAACAGGGATGGCAGCAGCAGAAAGTGCCCTCTGCACCATCCCTCTAATCCCTCTGCTTCCTGGGACAGGAGATGAAAGCAGCCAGGGAAGCCGGAATCAGGGAACAACACTGCCAGCCCAATTCCTACCACGTTCCAGCCACACACATCAACCCAGTCCCTACCCCTTCCTTTAATTTGGGCTTCCCATAGGGCAGAGCCCCAGATGGGCGACAGATAAGCTGCTGTATGTTTTGTCAGGATGTTTGATTACTACCTGGCTCAGGTAAATAAAGTATTTAAGCTTTCAAAACCAGTGCTAACATTAGCTCAGAAGAGTTACAGGCATGTCACGTGTCTCTACAACAGAAAAAAACTTCAGCAGTCAGTGGTGAGACCAGTCTTGAGTTATCCCTCAGTTTAAGTCTTGTTACTGGGGACTTGAAATTACTTTGTACATTATAAATGATATTATTATTACATATAATTTTTCCCTCATATTCTGGTACCAAGCTATACCTGTCCTCAAGACAAAACTGGGTGTTTTTGAGTTCTACCCCTCTTTAACTTACACTGGGTTTCCTTCAGGTTCAAGAGGCCTTTACAATTGTTCTCAACTGGAATTAGAAGCAAGTGGATGGAAAACCCGTACCATCTAAAAACCAACAACCCATATTTGCTTATGGTTGTCCCAGTCTGACCTTGCACTTTCCTGGTGTACTGAGTTTTAGTCAAAGTATTTCTCCATTAGAAAGATGGAGAGAAACTTAAAAATTCATTGGTTTAAAGTTCAAACAGCAGATGCAAGTAAAAATCAGGAACACAGGCAAAGTCAATAAATAAACATGGAAAGCTGGAATTCTGCTTTCTTTGCCCTCCCACCTGCTCTTTCCACATTTCCACAGCAGTTTCAGAAAGAAGTCTTATGCACTTGTTCATATATTCCTTTTAGTAAAAAGCCCAACAAAATAACCCCAGAGAAGCACTCCTCAGTGAACCCCCTCCAATCACAACCTTAAAATTAAAAATCTGAAATTGCAAACTATGTTTTCTGGACATGGAAATACAAAGTGTGGTACACACAAATCTTCAAAAGCAGGCATTGCCCTACACCCCCGCCCAGCCAGACCTGCCAAAATGATCCTCAGCATCTTCTCCTGCCCCACGCAAAGCTGAGCAGAGGATGATGCACGAAGCAGGGTGGTTCCTTATCCTTCTTGCAAATGTTAGGAGGAGGTGTTTTTATCAGAGCAGCGCTAGCCCACGGGACTGGGGAATCACTGACATGCCCTTACCTTCCTTATCTCTGTGCTGCTTGAGCAGACAGCTTCGTCTTCCAGCTACTTTGTCCCGAACAGCCTTTAAACAACCTCTTCTCACCGCTTTTTTTATAGTTGATTGTCAAAGCCTGGGGAGGGGAGGAAGGGGAGGGCTCCCACCTTAGAGAGCCGGGCTGCAGCTGGGTGTCATCAGCTCGCTGAACCCCCTGCCCTCCGCCAACAAAGCGCTTTATTTACCGACCTGCCAGTCCAACTGCAGCTCGGGAGGATAAATATTTACCTCGCAGGAGCAGCGTCTGTTTAAAAGCCCCGCTGCTTTTGGATGAGATGGGATGGAGCGGGGAGAGCAACAGGAGCGGCTGCGGCAGCAGCGCCGAGAGCGGCCGCGTTCGGACACCCCGGGCCCGCTGACCTGATCCTGATCCTGCTCCTGCTCCGTGTCCTTCTCCTGGTCCTGGTCCTGATTCTGGTCCTGCTTTTGGTCCTGGTCCTGGTCCTTGTCCTGCTTCTGGTTTTGCTCCTGCTCTTGGTCCTGGTCCTTGTCCTGCTCCTGGTCCTTTTCTTAATCGTGCCCGGCGCTGCCTCCGCAGCTCCGGGACAGTCGCGATACTCGGGACAGCCGGGCCCGCTCTTTCCGATCCCGATCCCTTTCCAGTCCCGGTCCCGATCCCTTTCCAGTCCCG